GCTCCCTACACCAGAAGTTATTGTCCTCTTAATTGTTAATAATAATACCAACGTCGTGGGATAATTAGGAGAACTGGTACATTCAGAATAGCATCTGAAGAGTGGAAAGCGTAGAACGGGAGTTTTCTGTTTGTTTTTTTTTTCTGTTCATTTTAGCTCAAAAAAAGTTGTAAACATTAGTTATGATATCACACTGCCAATCTTCTGAAGCTGTTCCAGTTTAAAGTATCCCATAGTGAGGAGAATCCACCCAAACAAGGAATAGTGTGGGTGCATGTTAACTTCTCCCACATCCCTGCATTCCAGATGCCAACTAAAATGCCTGGATGATTTAAGGTGGTTTCTGTATGGATAACAAAGAAATTCATAAGGGCCCACAGATCTTGGCAATGTTCAGGTTGGAGTTATAGGTGAAAGAGACAGAAAATAGGGAGAGAAAGGCTTCGAAGTAGAGCTTTGGAAGACGAGGGTAAATACAAGCATGTCGACAAGTGCAGGCACACGTACCAGGTGAAGCAAACATTTCTCAGAAGAATAAAATATCCATGCTATACTGAGGGAGAGTACATCGAAGAGCAACAGATTAAAGGTCCAAGTCTTCAGTAAGCAAGGTCCCACCCTTTCCCCTTCCATCCTGGTCACTAAGCAATGTCTGTGGGACACTGTGCACCAGGTAGGTCACTTATGTGTTTTTGCCGCTGCACTAATTATTCTTTTTCTGCCATTTTTCTTGGGCATTTTTATGATTGCCCTAATCCACACTGCCAACTCCACAACCTCCACATTCAGCCATCTCTATGTAGCCCTTAACTCTTGGACTTTGATCCTTGACTTTCCTGTTTGCCCTATCTTACTTCCCCTTTAAGCCCTTGCCTCCTCCAAAGAAAAGGACAAGGCACAAATTTAGCACGTTTGTCTCCAGAATGTTGTATTCTCGTTGTATGTCTGAAGGTCAGCTGTTCGTATTGCAGTGGCTGTGGAAGCAAAAGCGGGCTCTTCAGTCTCCTGAGCTTCAGTTACAGGCAGTTGTGGGCCATACAATATGGATGGTTGGAATTCAACTCAGGTCCTCTGGAAGATCTGCAAGTACCACCCATGAAAATAAAGTGATATGGTCACTACAAGGTATTCATAGCGCATATTGAAAGTCATGAAAAAATGATCATTACCATTCATAAATGTCTAAAGCCTGTAAAGAAGCACCACTAACTTTACATATTCGGTGAATAATTAATGGGCTCTTCCTAAGTCCTAGGTACTGTTTGTCACACCATAGACACAGTCATGAACAAAAGAAAACAAGTATCACTTTTCAGAGTGTTTACAGTTTAGGACAAGTGAGTGAAAGTAGATACCTCATGAGGTGAGGAAAATAAAGCTGTGTGGATTTCTTTATTGCAAATTCCTAGTTCTCAAGGTTTTATCACTTGGCCTTCTTTTGGTTTACATCACTCTAATAAGCACAATCAAAAATCTCCTCTGAAATTCTTTCTTTCATGCACCACCTATTAACTATAGACACTTTAGAACAATTTTCACAGACAGGAAAGAAGTCTCCATGGTGAAGAGCACTGAAATGCTCATGCAGAAGAGCATGGTTCCGGTACCATAATCCATACAGTTGGCTTACAATCCATGGTATCTGACATCCTCTCCCAGCCTCTGCAAACTCTGACACACATTAGGCATACATACACGCAAATGCACAAATCACATACCATCAATTAACTAAATAATCAAAACATAAAATAAAACATTTAACTTTCCTGCCCAACTAGGTCCTGCACATATCACACACACACACACACACACACACACACACACACACACACACACACCCCGCATGCTCCATCATTGTCTGGTCATCACCAGTGTCCAAACTCTTAAGTTCTGGCTACAATACACACCCTTCAAGTCAGGTCAGGGTTGATCCCGCCACCTGATTTTATTTCTCAGGACACTAGAAGCCTCTCTCTTCTTCCAAGCCCTTCTCATCATGTACCAGGGCTGAGCTGGCTGAGTCTATCTGATCCTCCCTTCCACACACGGTCAAACTCCTCTACTCACATACCCAGCCCTAGCGTGGTCATCCCTGCCCGTACCTAATGCAAACTCTAGGATTTGACCGGGACACACACCTTGCATGCCAGCCCAGAATATCCCCTCCTACCACCTGATCTCATTTCTCCTGTGCCTCATCCAACATCCAACTCCGGTTCAGTTCTGTTTCTCCAGGGCCAAGCCATGGGAGTCCACCATACTTTTTTTTTTTCTTCCATCCCCAGGTCTAACCGGATCGCACAACTTGACCAACTTTGGTAGCCCTGCCCATGACACCCCCAACTTCCACGCTTGAACCAGGACACACTTGTCTAGGCTTGTGAGCCCAGACCTGTGTTCACCTGAATTTATCCCACTCAAGCCATTTCCAACCTGCAGGCACAACCGAGCCTGCACATTCTGTGATATGCCCAGGTACATCTGCCCAAGTATAATCACAAAAACACAAATAGCATGGAAGGTCAAAGTACATTGCACCCCCAAATACCCGGTACTATCGAAAGTTTTCCCAATGAGAATTTTTAAATGAACCCTCAGAGCACAGAATTTAAAAGAGCAATTATAAACTTCATCAAAGAACTGAAGTTTAAAGAGGATGCAACAAAACAGCTCAATGAACTTTAAAGTATGCAATTAAAGAGAATAAATGTCTCAATGGTGCCCAAACACAGCTAAATAAAAAGATACAGATTTTGAAGAGAATTTAAACTGAAATGGGTGTGGGATTAAGAAACTCAATAACTTAACAACAACAAAAAAAGATTCAAGGGAAAACCTTACAACTCCAATGGACAAACTAGAAAAAAGAATATCCAGGATTCAGATAAAGAATTAGAGAATACAAATAATATGAAAATGGTTTTAAAGAAAGGGACACTTAGATACTGGGAGATACCACCAAGAAAACAAACTTCCCATCATTATAGGCATAGGTGAGGGAGAATAATCCCAAATCAGAACCACAGAAGACAGTTTTCCTGAATAAAGTAGTACAAAACAAACAAACATACATACAGGTACAAGGATCTGATAGAACATCAAATGAACAAAACTAGAAAAGAAATTCCAATTACATTATAATTAAATGCACATTACAATTAAAACACTAAATATAAAGAACGAAGAAAGAGAGAAAGAGTACCAAAAGATGGAAGAGGAAAAAAAACACACACACACACATACACGTCACATATAAAGGAACACCCAAACCCTGAACAAATAGCTACAAATACACACACATATACATATATATATATATATATATATATATATATATATATATATATATGGCATGGGTAGGGTTGGAAGAAGAAAAGGGAAGGGATAAGATTTATATAATTATATTTTAATTTTTAAACAATAAAAATTGAAAGTAACTTTTATTTCATCTCTCTCCAAAGTCTCTGATGATGTCAAATTTTTATTTGCATTCTAGGGCACTCTAAATTTACCACAGCTTTGGTAAGTTTTTGTTTTCTTTGTTTTCATTGAAAATATATTCTTCTGAATGAGGAGTGATCATCTTATCCAGGGTGCTCCTTCTTGCTTAGCTTCTTTAGGTGTACAGATTTTTACAGGGTACAGGACAGGAGCCTACCACAAAGGGCCTCTGAAAGACTCTACCCAACAGGGTTATAAAGCAGATGCTGAGACTCATAGCCAAACTTTGGGCAGAGTGCAGGGCATCTTATGAAAGAAGGGGGTGATATAAAGACCTGGAGAGGACAGGATCTCCACAAGGAGAGCAACAGAGCCAAAATATCTGGGCACAGGGGTCTTTTCTGAGACTGATACCCCAAACAAGGACCGTGCATGGAGATAACCTATAATCCCTGCACAGACTGTAGCCCATGGCAGTTCAGTGTCCAAGTGGGTTCCCTAGTAATTTAATGGGAACAGAGACTGTCTATGACATGAACTCAGTGACAGGCTCTTTGATCACCTCCCCTTGAGGGGAGAGCAGCCTTACCAGGCCACAGAGGAAGACAATGCAGTCAGTCCTGATGGGACCTGATAGGCTGGGGTCAGATGGAAGGGGAGGAGGACCTCCCCTATCAGTGGACTAGGGGAAAGACATAGGAGAGAGGGAGGGTGGGAGTGGGAAGGGACAAGGGAGGGGGCTACAGCTGGGATGAAAAAATGAATAAACTCTATTTAATAAAAAGATAAAATAGATTCTTCTTTTATATAATACATCTTGACCAATTTCCCCTCTCTCCCATCCCCTCATCCCCACTGCCCAGATCCACTCTCCCTCAGTTTCCTTCACCTTCACCCATAAAGCAAATTCACATTTGGCAATACTGAATACCAAGCTTGAAAGAAATAGCCAATAAATGTGTTATGAAGCATATGAATGATCATATTAGATGAAATCAGGCATAACACAAACTTAACTAATTAGGAAAGAAAAACAACTAGCTTACTCTATAAAAGTGGTAAATACATATCATGAACAAAAACAGGTAAGATTGTCATTTGTAAAGTTTATCTTGCTATAAAATAAGGGTAAAATTTTTATTTAAAAAGTTATAAAATTCATAGTTCTGTAAGTGGGCTGACAAGCATACTTCTAACATGTTCTTTTTATAAAAAAAATTATCTTACTACTTACTTGATAATTTTTAAACTAAGACAAATTACTAATAAAAGACATTAATATACAGTAATTTGATTTTATTCAAGCTTCATTCTCCTGAGACAAAAAAAAAAATAAATCCTAATATCTGCATATTGTAGCCTTGTTTGCTACCAATCTTTTTTTAGAAGAATAAACATTTTTTTCCTTTAAATATAAAAAAAAGAATACAGGCTATTAAAATAGAAGTCCATTTGTAAAATAGAATTCCAATTTGCATCTCTGAGTTACCACAATACTATAACAAATATTCCAAATGGTGGGAACAGATATAACTAAGGAGTACCCACTGATACCTTCCTTAAGAAATGTGAAGGCTCCTGGAGCAGAGTATGTGAGTGACGGCTGTAAGGAGGAGGAGGCTCTTTTCGGGGAGAAGGCAGAATGCTGGGCTGGGTTCTACATGAGTACTTATACAGATGGCGTTGTCAGTGCACACCGTAATATTTTCCACCTTTTCGATATCAAGTCTCTCCTTACAGTTCATGTTTGGGTAACAGCTGCATTTAAAATGCTTAGCAAAGTACTTCAAGTCTCCAACTGTCAGGTTGCCAACTAGTTCAAACTTTCCATTTTCCAATATTTTAATGCCTACGTGACTTGGATTCAACTGAATATAGTGATCTGAATTCACGTCTTTTCTTGTACACATGCCTTCATGATTGCAAAGTGTTTGGCTGCAGATTTTAGCTGCGAGGGTGACGTTGATCATGTATGGTTTCAGGGTATTCTCCATGTATTTATGTAGGCGTGGACAACCTGTCTGCAAGATAATGAGACAGTCAGCATAACATTCCACACATTCCTGGGTGAACACATACACTATTGTAACTCTGAAGGAAGAATAAACCGACAGACAGAAGTGACAGGAAACACTTATTTTGCTTTAACAAACAAGGTTACTGCACTCATATTTTAACACTGGTAAGTTTTGTAGGCCATCGCAGGCCACCGAAGAATTGTTGAGTTGAGGCTTAACTCATCCTGGACTTCATCTTCCATAGTAATTCATAAACTAATCAAGAGGACGGAATTTTACAACTGTGAGACTATGGCCTTTGAGGTTCACTTGCGTGATAGGAGCACCTTCATTAGGGGCCATGCCTGGGAACCTGGGATAGCTCAAACTTTCTCAAGGTTAGTTTATTATCTGGGTTATATCATGAAAATTAGTTAACTGGGTTACGCTTTTCACCATTTGTAAACTATGGATGATTTTGGAGTCTCCCTCATTGGCTAATTTTGAAGAGAAATGACAAAATGTGTGTGTGTGTGTTTTAATGTGGGGACCACCATTTCTTCAGTTAACCTTTAACTATGAATAATTGTAACAAGAATCACGTTTGTCAGATGCCTTAATCATAGAGATTCAAAATTGTTGACTCAAAATGATAAAATAAGTTCAACTGTGTTTTATCTAAATGTTGCACACTCAAAAGTGTGAAAATGACAATTTTGTAACAAATTGTGTAGACTAGAGAGATGAAGAACAGAACTGCTCCATATTAACACTACTGTGCCCTAAACCTTGGTCATTGGTCATTCAAAAGCTTTGGTGATTGTGATGTGTTGCAATCAACAGGACTACTGAATGAGCATTGATCGCACATTGGCGTGAAAGACAAGGGGTCTTGGCAGCTCTGCCTCAAATCTATTTGCTGTTTTTATTGTGGTAAGACAACCGTTAGTTTAATAATGGCCTGGCAAAGATATCTGCTCTCCTGTTCCCAGAACTTGAGACGATGTGAGCTTACAACAGAGGAGACTGTAGTTAGAATTACAAGCATGCTGAAAGGGCTGAAAAGGGAAGGCTATTCTGAATTATCTAAGAGGGCTTAATCGATTTACATAATACTTTATTATAACTGTGCAAACTTTTTCAACTGGATCAGCATGAAAAAAGAGATAAGACTCAAAGTGCTAAAGAGATTTATACTTCTACTGAGGTCCACAATGATGCATCAGTGTCATCGCAGGAAAGCCAGGAATAGGCATTCATTTAAGCATGTGCTATAAAAGACCTACCTCTAAAAAGAACAAACAAGCAGATAAACTAAACCACTACCACTAATGGCAGAAAAGGGCTGGAACCCAAAGTCAGGGCCCTCTCTAGAAGATGCAATACCCTTTTGCAATAACCTGTCAGGTGGAGACCTTAGCCACAAGGAACTGAATCTTGCAACAAACCAAAAGAAAAATAATCTTTCATTGGGAAAAATAATGCAAATGGCTGACATCTTAATGTGAACCCTTTGAGGCCTGTGCTGGACTTTGGATTCAGAACTTTAAGATGATAAAATTGTGTTGCTTAAGCTACCAGATCTAATGAAATAGACTGGCAGGAAATCCCTTTTAAGTTATTTTAAGCAACTTCAAATAAAAACCATTGGGCTAGTGGCAGAGTTGAAAAATGGTTTGTGGAAATATCATGATGATAATATGAAAATAAATCACCATCTGTATTAACTCACCAATGCACTTTCGTGGTTTTAAATTTAAGTCTTGATGCTTATATATTCCGATCTATATGACAGCCATTCTACATCCATGTTTTTTGGCCATAGTGCTGGTGTCACTGGTGTTCCTGTTAGTTTTTCTTTTTGATTTTTGTTATTTTGTTTTTTGTCGAATCAACACAAGTTAGAATTCTCTGGTAAGAGAGACTCTCAATTAAGATTGGCCTGTACAGGAGTGCTACTGATTTTTTTGAGTTACTTTTGTATCCAGCCACTTTGCTGAAGTTGTTTATCAGCTGTAGGAGTTCCCTGGTAGAGTTTTTGGGGTCACTCATGTATACTATCATATCATCTGCAAATAATGATAATTTGACGTCTTCCTTTCCAATCTGTATCCCCTTGATCTCCTTCAACTGTCTTATTGCTCTAGCCAGGACTTCCAGCACTATGTTGAAGAGATATGGGGAGAGTGGGCAGCCTTGTCTTGTCCCTGATTTCAGTGTGATTGCTTTAAGTTTCTCTCCATTCAGTTTGATGTTGGCTATAGGCTTGCTGTATATCGCCTTTACTATGTTTAGATATGTGCCTTGTATCCCTGATCTCTCCAATACTTTAAACATGAATAGATGTTGGATTTTGTCAAATGCTTTTTCAACATCTAGGGAGATTATCATGTGGTTTTTTCTTTCTTTCAGTTTGTTAATATGGTGGATCACATTGATGGATTACAAAGGACAAAAGGGCTGAGAAAGAAATTAGAGAAACAGCACCCTTCACAATAGCCACAAATGACATAAAGTACTTTGGTGAAACCCTAACTAAGCAAATCAAAAACTTGTATGAAAAAAATTTCAAGTCTCTGAAGAAAGAATTAGAGGAAGATATGAGAAGATGGAAAGATCTCCCATGCTCATGGCTTGGCAGGATTAACATAGTAAAAATGGCCATATTACCAAAAGCAATCTACAGATTTAATGCAATTCCCATCAAATTGCCAACACAATTCTTTACAGACCTGGAAAGAAAAATTCTCAACTTCGTATGGAATAACAAGAAACCCAGAATTGCTAAAACAATCCTCTACAATAAAAGATTTTCTGGAGGTATCTCCATCCCTGATCTCAAGCTGTACTATAGAGCAACAGTTATAAAAACTGCATGGTACTGGTATAGAATCAGAATGGTGGATCAATGGAACCGAACAGAAGACCCAGAAATAAACCCACACACTTATGGACACCTGATTTTTGACAAAGATGCCAAAACCATACAATGGAAAAAAGATAGCATCTTCAACAAATGGTGCTGGTCCAACTGGATGTCTACATGTAGAAAAATGAAAATAGATCCATACTTATCACCCTGCACAAAATTGAAGTCCAAGTGGAACAAAGACCTCAACATAAAACCAGACACAATAAATCAGCTAGAAAAAAAGTGGGGAATACCCTAGAACACATTGGTACAGGAGAAAACTTCCTGAACAGAACACACAGGCTCTAAGAGCAACAATCAATAAATGGGACCTCATGAAACTGAAAAGCTTCTGTAAAGCAAAGGACACCATCATCAAAACAAAGCGACTGCATACAGATTGGGAAAGAATCATCACCAACCCTTTATCTAACAGAGGACTCATATCCAGTATATATAAAGAACTAAAGAAGCTGAAAAGCAGCAAATCAAGTAATCCACTTAAAAAATGGGGAACAGAGCTAAACAGAGAATTCTCTGTAGAGGAATATCGAATGGCAAAGAAGCACTTAAAGAAATGCTCAACCTCATTAGCCATTAGGGAAATGCAAATCAAAACAACCCTGAGATTTCACCTTACACCCATCAGAATGGCCAAGATGAAAAACTCAAGTGACAACACATGCTGGAGAGGTTGTGGAGAAAGGGGAACCCTCCTCCACTGTTGGTGGGAATGTAAACTTGTACAACCACTCTGGAAAGCAATCTGGCACTTTCTCAGACAACTAGGAATAGCGCTTCCTCAAGATCCAGCCATACCACTCTTAGGTATATATCCAAAAGAGGCTCAAGTACACAAAAAGGACATTTGTTCAACCATGTTTGTAGCAGCTTTATTTGTAATAGCCAGAAGCTGGAAACAGCCCAGATGCCCCTCAAATGAAGAATGGATACAGAAACTGTGGTACATCTATACAATGAAGCAATACTCAGCAATGAAAAATAAGGAAATCATGAAATTTGCAGGTAAATGGTGGGACCTGGAAAGGATCATCCTGAGTGAGTTGTCCCAGAAGCAAAAAGACAAACACGGTATATACTCACTCATATAAACATACAACATAGAATAACCACACTAAAATCTGTACATCTAAACAAACTAAGCAAAAGAGAGGACCCTAACTAAAATGTTCAATCCCCATCCTGAAAGGCAAAGAGGATGGACATCAGAAGAAAAAGAAAACAGGAAACAACCTAGGAACCTGCCACAGAGGGCCTCTGAAAACCTCTGCCATGCAGACTGTCAAAGCAGATGCTGAGCCTGATGGCCAACTGTCAGGCAGAGTGAATGGAATTTTATGTAAGAAGTGGGAAATAGTAAGAGCTGGAAGGGACAGGAACTCCACAAGGAGAGCAACAGAACAAGAAAATTTGAACACAGGGAACTTCCCAGAGACTCATACTCCAACCAAGGACTATTCATGGAGATAACCTAGAACCCTGACAATGCAGCCACTTCTGATGAGAACTGATAGACTAAGATCAGAAAGAAGGAGAAGAGGACCTCCCCTATCAGTGGACTTGGGGAGGGCCATGCATGCAGAAAGGGGGGGAGGGTGGGACCAGGAGGGGAGGAGGGAGGGGCTGATGGGGCGATACAAAATGAATAAAGTGTAATTAATAAAAGTTAAATAAAAAATTTAAAAAAAAAAAGATTGGCCTGTACGCACTTCTGTAGGGCAATTTCTTACTGAGTGTTTGATAAGACGGTGCCAGCCCACTGTGGGCTGGTGGTGCCAAGCCTGGGAGATATAAGACAGGTAGCTGAACATGAGCCTGGAAAGCCAGCTACCAAGCAACATTCCACCATGGCTCTGTTTCTATCCAACCTCCAAGTTCCTCCCTTGAGTTTCTTCCCCATAGTCCTTCAATGATTGGCTACAATCAGATCGTATAAGACAAAGAAATCCTTTCACCTCCAAGTTACTTTTGGTCAGAGTGTTTTCTTGAAGTAGAAAGCAAACCAAGAACCACTAGCATAACAGGTTCATGTGAACCTCTTCTATTATTCTATTTGTGTGAAACGTTGTTTATTTGAATTTAAATGTGATTGACTTCTTGTCCTTCTAGTTGTACTTTAGAAAGTAAGCATCTAAGATACTTTCTTTGTAGAATCATACCTGTTAGTTGCTTAGAAAACACCTACCACACATCAGTTATTTTAATTTTTATGTAGTTTTTCCTGAACACTATTATATTCTAAGAGTTTATGGTCTGTGTGTTAAGAGTTCTAGTAATAAAGACGTATTAAAAATTACAAGTTCATTGCAAAAACAAGGATTAAGCAAAAGGCATTTGAGAATCATCTTTCATCTTCTCTATGAGAAGATTTAAACCGATTAGCTAAGAGATTCTGTATAATTAAATCCACAATGGCCAATTTGTCAATCAATAACAATGAATTTAGAGTTGGGAAGTGAGCAAGCTATTATTTCACAATATGGGAGTGTGATGTTTTAGAGTGTTCCACTGAGGCAGGTGAAAGGTATATAAGATACACACATACTCAGAACGTAGGATGGCTTCGTCCCACCACTCTACTGGATAAAGTGGAATGGAAGGAGATGGCTTACTTGATGCTTTTTGTATGTCAATTTTAACAGCTGTGATGAAAAATGCCATGGACTGGCTGGTAAGGAGGATAAGAAAATGTTTCATGTGACAATAGAAGGACATTGAATTTATGCTCATAAACAACTTCCAAAAAACCAAGTAGTATGATATTTGTCTATATGCCCAAAGATAAACATTTAGTTCTGAATAAAAGAAAAGGTGGAGAGCAACAAAGGAAGACTCAATATTGCCTCTGTATCTACATACACACACAAACACACACACACACACACACACACACACAAACTTTATACTTGCTATTAGCATTTCCTCAGTGAATCTGAGGAAACATAAAAAGCAATTCATGAGAATACTGAGCAGAAATGACTCAAAACAAAGGTGGGGTGGTGATAAAACTAAAACTAATCATTAATTGGGGAAGTAAAATATATAGAGTCTATAAGGGAAAACAGCAAGACAATACCTAAAATGAAAACGAGTAACGTCGAAGGAGAGGTCTACCTCTTAATGAATCAGGCTGCAGATTTTTGGGAGGAATGGTCAAACAATGAACAGATAAGACTGAAAAGACATTAAAAATAAGTGTGACAGCTAACTAGGGTGTCCTCTCATCTCTCATTTTGAATGCCTGATTGATTCCTCCTCAGAGGAAGGGTGGCATTCTCAATTCGTTTATTTTTAAGGAGACAGTATCCAGAAATCGTAAATGGACCCATAAGGAAATTATTGTACTTGAGAAAAGTATTTACAGCTTTGAACAGACAACAGCGAGGGTTAGCTCGCCACCTAGGATGATTGCAATGTTAAGATAATTTTCTGCAACTCCAAAGATTTCACCAAGAGACATATACCCTTCCCTGACTTGTGTTTTTTGTGACTTACTGTCGATTGAGGATCAACCTAAAGACAGTAATATTATATGAGTTGGCTTTTAAAGAACCTAGCAAATAAAGCTGCTGAAATGTTTTTAGGTGAGATAATGCTATCTTCAAAAACTTGATAGGATTATTTTTTATTTCCTACTAATTCAACTTACTGCTCGTTGCGCTAGAGATGGAGTATCCCATATTATAATTCCACTGGTTCCCAGAGCAACGGCTTCACCAATGGTATTCACAAGGTCAACCTGACAAAGGTGACACAAAGAATTAACAGGGAGGAAGACAGCGGAAGTGTTTACACAGGACACCACCACCAAGCTAAGCATGCCGACTCAACAGTATTTAAGACACTTTAAGCATTTCCTCACTCTTTAAATCTTTCACTTAAGCATGTCTTTGCTATAGGAGAATTTATCATTATGTTAATGACTTCTGCTATCAAAAGACCCAAATCCTTGGAAGAAAAAAAAAAAAACACAAACAAAACAAAACAAAGGACAATTAAAATATTGTCTATATTTTGTAGTTCTTCATAGCTGTTAACATATCATATAAAAATGTAGTGATTTTGACTTTTTTGTAGAATACAGTACTACTGTGTATATTCCTAGAGATAAAGCTGAGTTGCAGTTTTGGAAAACATCACATTCCTTGTTCACACACTATTTCTGTAGCACATAGCTATAGACGGTAATTTACTCACCCGAGAAAAAAATTCCCATTTAAGGTCAGTGAAAACAAGGCCCATATACAGAAAAACGGGAAGTGGATTATTTTCTCTGGGCATTTTGGATACTCTGAGGCTTTCCAATATACGGTGGCGGTTGTAGAGCTTTGCCTTTGGAGATAACTGCAATTCGTTGGTCAAATAGGTGGATGGGAAAAGAGCGGTGCTTTCTTTCCATAGCCACTTAAGATCATTATTTTTGTCCTTTTCCATATCAGGGCATTTTCCATTGTAGTCTAACTGTAGATATTTATTATTATAACAATCAGGAAAGTGATAAAAACCCCATAAGTATTTTGGCCGAAGTTTTTTCCCCAATTTTAATGTCTCATCCATGAACTTTTTCCCCGCCTCTTCAAATTGTTGTTTGGCTTTAATAGTGGCTTCTAGAATGTCTATTCCTGGATTTTGGGTCTTCACCAACTCTATAGACTTATTCTTATAAATGTCCTTGGGTATCAAGTTTCGTCCCCAGACAGGATTCCATTCTTCCCAGTTAATGACAGCTAAGCCTAATTTGTTTACTGGAATGTACTGCTCTATGTCAATCTTAGCTTTGTCCAAATGATCTTTCAGATTACCCAACTGAGGTATTCCTCCAAACACATCTTCTCTTCTCTTATTTATGTGAGGATATTTTCCAAGTCCGTCAAAATAAAACATGGTGACAGGCTGCCCTGTGACAGTTTTCCGGGGGTTTCCGATTAAAGAGAAGAAACTCAAATCCAGTGAGTGAGTAAAGTTTCCAATACAGGTTTCAGTTGGGGCATTCCAGACCCAAAGGAAAGTTGCATCTTTTATAATGGGTGCTGCTCTATAATCCACAGTCAAAGAACATGGAATCAGAAGGAAGATTAACACTGTCTGGAATGCTCCCCCAGACTCAACAAAGCTCCCCAAAAAGAGGTGCTTAAATAGCAACCTTCCCATCTCAGGCAGTAATTACTACAGAAACAGTTATTTCTTCTTGCACACTTTTGTCTGTCCAGTATTTGGTGCAAAAGGTAAGAAAGGTTGTGATATGAGGCCACTGCGGAAGATGAAAGTGTGGTTACTGTTTTACATTGAAGATTATTCCTCTTGCATTGTGTTGTAAGAATATTTATCAGCAAGTTAAATCATCCAGAACTGGAAAAAAAAAAAAAGACAAATGCAGAATTCACTATAGCTGGAATGAGAGCTTTACTAAGTTCTCCATGTTTTATGCAGTTTGACTCAATTTAAAAAGACAGAAGATCTTCTATTCTGTTTAAAGCAATAAGATTTTTTTCTCTTCTATATAAGTTAAAATCTATAACAATAAATATTAATCTCCCAAAATCATCCCTAATTCAACACAAACTTAATTAACTATTTTCCCTTATATTATGTATATAAAATATTATTTCTAGCAATGTTTAGCAAAAAAACAAAAAAAAAAAACAAAAAACAGTTGAATGAAAGTAAATTCTTGTTCATTGGTCTTAAAAGACCATTGTGTGGTGCTCTACTAAATTCTGAAAACAGTGTCTCACAGAATTAATTTTTTCAGGTATGAAATTAATTATGTTTAACTTTGAAAACCATATAACCGTATATACACAATGTATATTGTGGGAATCTCTTGAGGTCATCCCTGAAAGTGTATATACACAAACAGAAGAAAAAAAAAAATGAACTGAGGACGTTGTATTTATTTGTACGTCATTATAATCAAAGAAAAGGAGGCTGCTAATTTGAGAGTGATAGGAGACATGGACAGAGTTGTGGGAGTTCATTTAAGAAAGAGTGGAGAAAATCAAAGAGGGAAAGCAAGGTAATTACTTTAATTGAAATCTATAAAAATTAGAGATCATGCATTACTGACCCAATAACGTAAAAAAAATACATTTGTCAGGAGTCTTGATTTAGATAATGCAGAGGTGTATGGGGATAATACCAAATAACAAAGTCTCCATCAAAGACTGAGAGTCAGTAAAAAAGAAGAGTAGAAATTTATTCAGCAGAATTCATTCCAATTTGTAGAAATTTTTTAAAAAGCCATACAGTTGCTCCCCACCCCACATCACTGGTTTATGTTTCCACATTTCCAGATTCAATAATCTAGTATGTTAGTTGGAAAAAAAATTTTTAAATGAGTTCACTGGGCTATAGCCTCATAATAGAGGTGCTTTCCTGCTATGCACAAGGCCTTGGGACAGGTCACTAGTATGACAGAAGAGTAAACAGAAGCAATTTTTTTTTTTTACAAGAGCAAAGAGCTTTATTTGGGCTTAAGCTCTGTCTCTCCACCTTTACCAGCACAATAGATCAGAGAGGAGAACCCCAAGCAGCTGCATGGCAGGGTTTTTATTTGGAGTTTGAGCAAGAACCTGGAATTTCCAGCTTAGCAGTTTCAGGAATGGATGACATTCAGCAAGGGCAAGCTTGTTACAAACTGATTGGCTAACTAACATAATTAACATTGAGCTAGCTATCTATAGACCTCAAGAATGTTAAGCCAGTGGGCTTCCCAGCACAGATCCCCCATATTGAGATAAGATACCTTCCCATTCTGGTTATCCTCAGGCTATTCCTTGGGTAGGGAATTTTACTTTTCTTTTTAAATTCCTGGAATTGGTGACCTATGGCCTAGTTCCTGGGACTGATGACTTTTCAGGGAAGGGATCAGGCCTGGTCCTTTCAATGGAAGTAGTTGATTTTTTTGACAAGAGATTCTTTCTAAATGGGTCTTGAATTTAATATGGTGCCATAACCATTTTAATTGTTATAAACATACATTTTGAAATCCATGATATGCTATAATAATATTTTACTTCATTAACTCACAGCAACACTCGTTGGTACCTTTTTCTCTTTTTAAGCTTTTATTGTATTCATAGTTTGCCTATTTTATAAATCTATTCATCATATTTTGCTACTATTTATTGTATTTTGAACAGAAGCAAATTTTAAAAGCAACAATATTTCTCTATTAACAATAAATAATCCACAAGTTTTTTCATCTTCTGTTAGAGCGTATTATTATGACTATCCTTCTATGATTAGCCATTGGAATTACTCTCTTAGTGTTCCTAACTTACAATTAAACTTTAGCAAAGGTATCTGTATATAGAGAATAACAGTATATATTAGAAACAGCTCTCTTTGGGGTATCAGATATTTGTGGAAGACATCACTACAAAATAAGAGTGGAACATCTGTATTTACAATTAAATCATCTCTTAATAGTACGGAACAGATTACTAGGTGTTTTAACCTCAAAGGGGACCAGAGGTGTTCTGTTGCCATAAAACTAGGACAGGGAAGTGTCCCCTTCACAGGATGGATTAGTCATGCCTTCCACATTGAGATCATCTTTGGACAAATCTATCTAGAAAAATTACTTCAAATACAACCTAAATATCACTTCCATTTCCCATTCATTGTAGGTACAATGGAGCTCGTCGCAAACATGGTGACCCAAGAAAGTGACAGCACGCACTGTTACCTTGCTGGAAAGAACCTTATAAATACCTGCCTACCATCTGCATCTCCATCATAACAAAAGACACTCTTCTTAATTCATGTGAGCCATGGCCAGCCTAAATCTACTCCAGCACACCTACAACTGGAAGACCATCCCTACAGGTGACCTCGACGTTTGAATTCCACAGCAAGTTCCAAGGTCCTAGAAGCAGATGACATCACAAAGTGGACAGTTCCCCACGTCCAAAGAGCAAGATGCTTTACTTCTGCCTCTCTCCTTACGTCTACTCCTCCCAGCTTTCATAGAAAAAAGGCATTTTTTAAATAAAAACTTCCTAATTTTTTTTTTTTACTTTTGTTGCAAGCCTGACCATCTCAATCTACTTGTTGTTTTTTTTTTTTTTCCTTCTGTGTGTGTGTATGTGTGTGTATGTGTTCATCCATTATGGGTTCACTTTTGGACATGTGAATTTCCTATTAACTTTATGTTTTCTTAAGTCAAGCATGAAATTGACAAACTGCAACAGCTTCCAAAATTCATATCTTATTTATCAATTCGATAGTGATTTCAGCTACTATGAAAAATTTTGAACTAGCTATAATCTGCTATCAAGGTGAACATATGGTAGACCTACTGTAGAAAATTAAAGAATGAAACAAAATGACGTAGAACATCTCTCTATATTTCCTTCTGATGAGATCTCTTGATGCTTTGAGAAGCTTCCATGAAAGCTCAAGGACTATTCCTTGAGCAGAAAGAGACAATGCAAGCTCATTTTCCCTCTTCTTGAACACAGACATGATGGTAGATTCTCCTTGGTTCAATGTTGCAATGAAAACTTTGAGAATGGCTTCTTAGGAACTACCCCGACTTCTCGATAAAAAGCTTGAGGACTTCTGACATTGGTAGACCAAAACTGTGGACTAGAGCAGACCAGAGAGATGGCTCTACTTACCTGGTCACTTTCAGTTCAGTTCACAGAAACAGAACTCTATAAGAGTAGAGTTTCATTTCTTATATTTTGGTAAATAAAAAACACTTAATAGATAGATGTACATTGTTCCTAATTGTTGTTAAGAGCAATGTTCTCTCTTGTTCCCTTTCTCTTCTATATGTAACACAGTATCATGAATAAAAATCAAAGACTCCTTCAGAATGTTTTAAATTAAGCTATTTATGGTTGATCATAGAAATTGTTTTGATGATATGAAACACTTTGAGAAATTCATGCCACAGGTACAGATCGGATTATGAACCTTAGCATTAGTGATGGTTCTCAGGAACCAAACTGTGTGATCCTGAGAAGCAACCTGAATGAAGAAATCTTCACATACCAGAGTGTTTCATCCTCTAGGTAGCAAACCTCCATTTGGATACCTTTTTGTGCCTATGAGAGAGAGAATGCTAAGAAAGCACCATACTCAAGATTGGAATTAAGTTGTCTTCTCTCAACCCAAATGAAATAAAGTTCTACCTACTAAAATGCAACTTATATCAAAAGTTTGTGTTCTTTCTAAATAGAGTATTAGAATGAGGTACATTTTTAATTTTTATTTTTGTTTATTCATTTTACATCCTGGTCATAACCCCCTCCCTCTTCTCCTCCTGATCTTACCCTCCCTTCTTGTTTCCCCTAGTCCTCAGAAAAGGGGAGCCCCCACCAGCACATCAAGTCGCATCAGGACTTAGCTCATTCTCTTCCCCTGCAGCCTGGGGAAGCAGCTCGCCAGAAGAAAGTGATCGAAAAGCAGCCAACAGAGTCCATGTGAGAGTCAGCCCCCATAACCCTTTACGAGCGAACCTATTTGAGGACTGAGCTGTCCATTGCTACGTCTAGGTAGGAGGTCAAGTAACATTTAAAATAAATAATAGCAAAATAGTATTGATGTGAAGACTATGTATTTTATGTTACACACTTATATATTGATCTAGACAAAAAACCAGAGTCATGATTAATATTGACTTTCAACTTGATCTAGAACCATCTAAGAAACAGACCACTGGGAATAGTTGTGAACAAATTTTATTATGCCCTACAGTCACACAGTTCCTTCAGGACCAAGATACATTTACAGATTTTCTCTCCATCCTATCAGGATATTCATTAGTGTATGTATATGACTACTGGGAAAGAGTTCTGGAGTCTTGATTTCTAATGTAGTAGGAACAACCTAACTGTGCCTTTAAGGATGTCTAACTACAAAAAGACATTTTCAGCCTCCAGAGCAGTAATTCTCAACCTTCCTAATGCTGCCGCACTTTCATATAGTTCCTCATATTGTTGACCCCCAGCCTTAAATTATTTTGTTGCTACTTCATAATTTTTATTTGGTACTATTATGAATCATAATGTAAATATCCGGTATGCAGGATATCTGATATATGACCTCCAAATGGCTCACAACCCACAGGTTGAGAACCACTGACCTAAAGACACAGCTACTGTAAAACAGATGTTTCCCTGGTTGTCTCATATATAACT